TTTGTATATGCAGGTAAGACTTGATAGGATTGAGGCTATGTTGGGTGAAAAACTGCGACAATAGATTTCTGCTTTATGACAAATCGCAGAAACACGACAGGAAGCAAAGAAGACTTATGACAAAAAATAGAAAATTTCGTCAGGTCTACACTGGAAAACTGTGCAAGGGATTAAGAAATTGAATCCAAAAATATAACTTTCACTGATGCTTAAAGCTTAAGTCTGTCTCAGCATGAAATGCCAGTGAGAGTAAATGATCAAAATTCTCATTGGCGTTGGGAGGGCGATTGAAATAGCCAACGAGTAAGGAGAACTTATGTTTTATTGTAACCTGGAGCCAGCAGCTGCCTCCTACAGCGAAAAAATGCGGGAGGTCCAGCGGCAGAAATGTAAGCGTTTGCTTAGTGTAGATGAAGCTTCGCCATCACAACTGTCTTGACAATCATTTCAAATGCAAGTTTAGCCTAGCTGAGAGAGAGTGTTCGGAATCAGCTACGAAAGCTGATGCCTGTGTCTCAGTTATGAAAACAATGTCTGGACAATGGACGAACGCCAGAGTCTGAAGCAACGGCATCTTATTTAGCAGGGATCTGGCATTTAGAATAACAAGTTTGAGGGGAAAGGCTGTTTGTTTCTGAGGGAAGTGGGCTACGTCGTCCAGTGCTTGGCTGCTCACGGAACACACGGTCCGGATGCACCCAACCGGTCCTGTAAAATATTTTGTGGCATGAAAAGCTTCTGACGCGAATAAAAAGGAGTAAGACTTGGGGGAGGAAATGACGGGCAGAGAAACTGGTGACTATCGTTAGCTAGCTCATTTTCAGCTGGAAATCCACGGGCCGGATACTGTAACGTATTCCCGGCGGAACGAAACTGAGGAGTGAATGAGTTAACTGACCCGATATGGATATTAGCATGAGGAATGCTTTGGCAAAACGCCTGTGGGTGAAAAATGATTAGGGGTAGGGGATGCACTGCTCCCATAGGGGCAGGAATTATGTTTAAAAGCAGGAGTATCGGCGTATTCGGCCTAACTGCCTCCATATAAGGTCATGGAGGTAGTTAGAAACACGCTTTGCTTTAGTTCGTGGTGTTTGGTGCAATAGTAGGCGATTGTGGAGGAAAGTATTTCTTAATGGAGTTGGATTTGCTCGGTCTTCGAGTGGCTGAAACGGGACTTGGATTCGCCTTTATCTTAAGCACATGCCTAGGCCTGCGAGGTGTTGCTGTGGAAGTCGGCAGGGGCGTTTTTATTCCAGGTGTTTTTGTGCATTTAAAGATCTCAGCATCAAGAGTAGTCAAATTTCCTACGGATTTGACTATGCTGTGGCGTGCAGAGACCGCAGATGATGAAGAAGAGGACTTATTCAAACTGACAAGAGGTGTCATTATGTCGGTGTTGGTTTTTAACAATTTCAATCTCTTCTGCCTTCGCTGCATTGGTGTGAGGTCCAACGAAATTGAGCAGTGCCATTTACGGCAGAATACTCTAGTTATCTCCCTTCTCGACAAGATAAAGTCTACTTTTATCAAGAAGAAAAGGGTAACTAGTACCGGCGCATTACGGCTGAGCGAGCATAGTTGTTTAGCCTGTGCGGCACTGAAACCCAAGCCACGACTATGAATGAACAAATGCGCTCCCTCCATAGCAGATACGTGACACGGACTGTTTTGCTGTACAAAACTGTGTCTGCGTTTTATTCTCTCCTCGGCTTCAGAGCTTATTACTGCAATAACTTTCAACGCCTTTTCCTTGACTTTTTCAGAGGTGTCGCCATATATCAACGGATCGAGTATTTCGTCGGCTAATGTTCTGTTACGACTAGCAGAGACGTACTTTTGGACGATTAAGGGTCAAGAGGTTCTACGTGGACCAAAGGTATTTTTCAGTTAATCATATCCGGAGAAGACAGCGAACACATGATGGCACATGCTGAGTCTCCGGCCACAATTCTAGCACTGAGAGACGGTGGGGGCCGCAAGGTTTCGTCTTTGGCATGTGTTCTTCGAGGTATTATAGGGTACTAGATAGGTTTTCCGTTGCAGTACAAGGATTGAAACGTTGCTAACGCACAAAACCCGCACAGAGTAGCACATACTTGTTAGTTTACTACAAAAAACTAGAAGGAGACGGGCTGACGCGGAGTCACTAAGAGGCGCTTAACGAAATACGGCTAAATTACCAGGCTGTCAAACAATACTGGGAGAACTTATACCCGGAAATAAAAAGCGGCTCAATGAAAAGGATTCAATTATAAAATTGGCATTTATTGCTTAAGAACATGAAATTGTAGGCAAAGCTTCATGTTATGACCCGCCTGGTACTTGAAATTCCATGGAATGTATACGCCCTTGACCCTTGTCCCCAATACCGAAGCGGCAGACAAAGAAAACACGGCCGGCCACGGAAGGTGTACTAGAAAAACACTGCAAGTCGCGACTAGCTAAAAGGTGATGCATATTTATAACAGCCTACCGTGGTTCGCCGGCATTCGGCCCAATGACCTTCGGGAAGAGGGGAGTAGTACGACAGTAACGAATGTCGAAATCGTAGCCAAGAAGGATGATTGTCCATCGCTGAAGTCGGCTGGCTGAGTATACGGGAATGCCCTTCTTCGAACCGAAGATTTAAAGCAATGGTTTGTAATTCGTCAACAACATGAAGTGACGATCGTACAACAGTTTGTGGAACTTCTTGACGGCAAACACGAGGGCTAAACCATCTTCCTCTATTTGTCCGTAGTTCTCCTCTGCGGGGGTTAGCATACGAGGTGCATGCATGATCGCCTTTTCAGACCTGTCAGGAAAAGTATGTTATATGACGGCACCAACTCCGTGTTTAGAACAATCTGCAACAACAACGATCGGCAGTGTTGGGTCGTAATGCCTGAGCAGCAGATCTGAACTCAGCATCGACTTTAGTTGGGCGAAGGCCTTTACGCAGTCGGGGGACCAGCACCAGGAGGCATCTTTCTGCAGCAGACGATTGAGCGGGGCCCGTACGTCCTGCAACGATGGTAAGAAGGCGCTATAGTAGCTGATCAGGCCAAGGAACGAACGAAGTTGCGATACATTCTTGGGTGCAGGCATCCGTTGGATGGCTCGAATATTTTCAGGATCTGGATGACGACCGGTGACGTCAAAAACGAATCCGAGGTAATTGATGAAGTCGAGGAAGAATTGGCACTTGTCAGCCCGCAGGCAAGCGCCATATTTCTGCACACGTTCGAGCAATGTGCACACTTCAGTCTTGCAGCTCGGCAGGGGAACGACCCACGATGATAATGTCGTCCGGGTAACCAAGCTGTGCCAGGGATGCCGGAGAGCATTGCGTTAATCGTTTGTTGGAATAGGGCCGGGGCGGTCTTGACACTAAAGGGCAGCCAGTTCTATTGGAACAGACCGCGGTGGGAGCTGATGGTCAATGATTCGCGCGACTCTGGGACGACCACTATCTGCAAATACGCATCAGCGAGATCCAACTTGGCAAAGCAAGTGCCACCATTCAGCAGGGTGAAAAGATCAGCCGGAACCGGCAGTGGATAGCAGTTCGGCGTCAGCGCGGCATTGAGTCCGGCGGAGAAGTCAGCACAAATGCAAATCGACCACTGAGTATTCTTAACCACAACGATTGCAGCGACCCAGGCGGTGTAGGGTACAGGAACTAGAACTCCCAGTTCCTCCAGACGCCTCAGTTCAGCCTCGACAAGTGGTAGGGCTGCATATGGGACTGGTCGCTTTGGACGAAAGGCTGGTTGACTTTCAGGAGAAAGATGCAGCACGGCTTGAGTGTATGTGCAACGACCCAGGCCATCTTAGAACATTGGAGCAAACCGCTGGAGAATGTCGTTGGCTTGGTCTGTGAGCACAACAGGAATCTGCACCTGACCAAAAACAACACGGAGCGGCATATCGGCCAAACCGAGTTGTGCAATCCAGTCGAGACAACGTAGGTTGAGATCAGGCTTGGTGATGTAGGAGATCGCAGTGATACTGGTATCGCGGAACGAGACAAAGCATCGCAGTTGCCCAATCAGCTGTACGAGACCACCGCACGCGCTTGTGACGGACTGGGATGTCTACTGCAACATGGGACCGCCAAGGGACTGCCAGAGTCTCTCAGAGATGATGGTGATGTCAGAGGCCGTGTCCAACTGTGGGCGAACTGCATTGAGCAAAACGTCAAAACACTTTCTGCGACCGTCCGCGTTTAGCTGGGAAGTGGCCAAGAGACTGAGAGAATTATCAATGGACTGGGGTTTGGGCTTGCGCTTTGACCGGAAATGGTGCCTGAAACTAGAAGTGGCGGGGACTGGCTTGCTTCCAGAAGCTGGTATTGATTTGCAGAATCAATCACGGTGTCCCATCTGATTACAACTTTGGCAGCGATGTTGGCGGAAAGTGCAATGCCGGTGGAAATGCCATGCGCCACATTGCCGGCAAGGAGATACTTGTACTTGATACGGCTGCGATCATGCCTGATCTAGCCGGCCTCGATGATGTCACGAACTGTACCTCTCCACGCGTGACGATCCGCGGCAGCAGATCTAGACAGCTCAACCCATTCCCTTCGCCAACGACGGAGACCGAATACCGAAGGTCCAAGAACCACCTCCATGTCTTGGCGGACAGTTTCGAGCCAGGTTTTGAACTGACCCCCTCTTCGACGCCTCCAATGGCACAACGGTGCCGGATCGAGGGCAGTAACACTGAGCTCCTGAGGTGGACGACGAAGAACATGCCCGAACCACCTCAGTCGTCTTTCTTGGATGGCCTGAGTTATCCTTGCGATGTTGTCGTAGCGAGCGCGGACTATCTCATTTGAGACGAAGTCGGTTAACTTCACTCGAAGGAGGATCCTCAAGCAGTAGTGGTCAAATACCTCCAGTTTTCGCCCATCCTCCACGCGCAAAGCCCAGCATTCACAACCGTAGAGAAGGACATACCGGACAGATGCACGGTACACGCGAATCTTAGTGGCGATGGAGAGATCACGTCGAATCAATTGGCATTTCCGAAGGCTTGAGAAAACCCAGCGGGCAGCATCGATTCGGGAGACAATGTCGTCCTTACTCTGTCCATTAGGCAGCAGCCTCGCCCCGGGAGAAGATGGAGATCTCGCCTTGGACACTTGCTTGGGCCGCGAAACGGGATGCGATTTGGTCGATGGTTCCGTACGGACTGTGCAAGATGTGGCAGGGTTCTGAATGATGGCGGAGTCGAGCATGAGGTTGAGCAGCGTTTGGCACTCTGCTGCCAGCTTTTGGAGTGTTATTGAGTTATTCTGCAGCATTTTGGACAGGAGACATGTCCGGATATCAGCATCCTTGGAGCACTGGAGGCCACAGATAAATATAAGGCATTTAAACTGGTCTTCAGTAACAGAACCGCGTTGAAAACGCCCATACTCACGATTGACAATGCCCACATACATGATCAACTAATTGGAATCTCGTTTGCACAGCTGCAAGCACTGAAATCGAGTGTTTAAAAAGGGATGATTGCTCACCAAAAATCTGTGATAACGTCTGAACCGTGTCCTTGAAAGGGACTTCTCGGGGATTCTTGGGGAGGATAAGGTTGGCCTAACGCTTGTGTTCAGCCGGCCTTCGTTTGAGAAGTAGAAGTCGAACCTTCCATGCATCGTCCTGGGCGGCCATATCGACAGAGAACGTGTCCTCGTATCGTTTGTACCAGGAATCAAAGGTGATATAGCCAGCGGGTCATAAAAGAATTCAGTGATGATGCGGACAATGTGATCAACAGATTGCGAACCACCAGCCGCGCTTGATGAACCCATGGACGAGTTAGATAGCTTAACGGTGAGTGTCCCCATCAGCTTTAGCTGCTGCTGCAACATCTGCTTCAAGTCGGCGTACTCGTCAGCCATTGTAATTGAAAGACTGCGTCGCCAATTTGTTATGACCCGCCTGGCACTTGAAATCCCGTGGAACTCGATCATTGTCCCCAATACCAAAGCAGCAGACAAAGACAACACGACCTTCTGGAAGAGGGGAGCAGTCAGTAGAGAGACGCCACGATTAAGATGACAGCGCTGCAGAGAGAGCAAGCGCACGTGGCCTCCAATGATTGGTTGGCTCTTGTTTTTGGGAGTGCTGGCGCTCCCAACACTGATTATTTCTGATTACTTCATTTATTGTTGAAATTGAGCTGCGCGCCTCGACCTTGATGAGAATTTTTGTACCACTGGAATATATGAGGCTTTCAACTCATTCAGCTCTCATTTGTTTTACCCGTCAACGGATAAGTGATTTAGTGAATGTGTTTTTCTCCATTTTACTACTACTACTATGGGGCATTCGTCCGGTCTCACTTAGAGTATGCAGTCCGGGCCTGGCGACCGTGGTTGAAGAAAGATTATCAACGACTGGAAAGAGTACAGACGATGGCTATGAAGATGGTCAAGAATCTTCATCATCTGCCTTACGAAGCCAGGCTGATCGGACTTAATCTGTTTCCTCTAAATTACAGGCAACTGCGCGGCGATCTCATTCAAACCTACAGGATTGTCAAAGGCCGTGGATGTGCCCTGGACTTTGATGAATTCTTCCAATTGGCCGGGACTGACCGTCTGCGTGGTCATCCCTTAAAACTGCAGAGGAAGCTGGCTCATTCGGGCGTCCGACGGAACACCTTCTCCCACAGGGTCATTGGGGCATGGAACGGACTCCCTGATGAGGTGGTTCTTTCCGAAAGTGTCGAATCCTTTAAGTGTAGACTAGATGCGCATTTGTTGAGAAACCACTGTACATATAATCACGATTGTTTTAGCGGCGGCAGTTTGCGCCTGGTTCACACTTACCGCTAACTTTTGAATTTTCGCATTTGCTGGTGTAATTGATGTCTTTATTTCTGTTTATCGATATGACTAGGGGGCTGAAGGGCGAAAGCCTCATTCCCTTAAACGGACTTAACTGACTTACTACTGCTATTAATACTGCTACTACTACCACTACTTCTACTACTACTACTACTACTACTACTACTACTACTACTCCTATCACTACCAATACTACTACTACTACTAGTACTACTACTACCACCACCACCACCACTACTACTACTACTACCACCACCACCACCAAACATAAGAATAATAATAAAAGTGTTCGATGCTGTTTTGCAAACTTTGTCAAAGAAGAACAAAGCACGGATAGGGCTAACAGTGAAAAAAACACCCGATAAGCAAATACAGACCATGATGTCCTTGTGCAGTTTGGGTGGTCCTCGAGAAAAAACAGCTGGCTCAATTATATTATACTGTGGCTGCGTACACTGGACTGGCATTGTGCCTTGCGGCAAATCACAAGAGAGGAAACAAATATCCATCATGTCGTGGCCGATTTGCCAGTGAATGTTGCTACTGATCTACAGAATATTATAGAAAGTGCACCAACAAGAACCCCGTCTACTGCTTTAAGGGAGGACCTCATCATCCACATCTACCTATAAACTGCATGAGATGATAAAGTAGGCTAATTTGTATAATTTAAACTTAGGTCCTTTATGATGGAGCATTCTGATAGCGAGTTATTCGGACAAATTATGCCACCGGGAAACACGACAGGGCCAAAAAACAGGAAACCGAATTGAGTCGTAAGTGCAGTTTTGGGAATATCGTCTGGGCTGCGGTGACTTTGGGAAAGGCTTTGATTAGATCTGTGCTTGAAAAGATTGTTGTACCGGTTAGGCTAGAGGAATAATCATAGGGATGGGGAAGCGAATATCTGTCGTGTACATTACAGTTGTCCAGCCTTTGATCGTCATCCCATGAGTGTTAGCCAGTGAAACTTTTGCAGACCGTATGGGTAGGGGTAGTCCATGGGCTAGTAGAGGGCCGCACTATGCCCAATTCCATCACGTAGCTGAATTCAGCCTTATCGATAGATAACTTATTAATGGTTAAACGACGTCGAAAACGACTGAAAAAGGGCGGTTCATTTTTCGGAATATTTCGCATTACAGAATGTTTAATAAAGTGATCAAACTGTGAGGGTCGGGCGATAAGTGAACATTACGACATCAAACGATGATGGGGATTGAAGGATCGTAATTGTTAAGGTACATGGACCAGGGGGAAAAATGACACGTCCGTACAAAGTCATCAAGTTTGTGAGTTTATGGGATATGATATCAACGACGATGCGGAAAATGCATATGAAGCCGGCAGCGGGAATAATGGCATGAACGCCAACAACAGTAAATATCCAACAACAAATATGCTATAAACCAACGTTTACAGTCACGCATCGTTGATTAAGATTTTAGTGGGGGCATCGTGAGCTACTTGGAGAGAGGAGCAAGATACGGGTGAGTTGCGGTCAACCGGAGACGGTGGAATCAGACTGACGTTAACACCAATGTCCACGAGTTGTTAACGGCAGGTATTCCCGTCTAAAATGTGAAGCAGGCAGGTGGGGGAGGTTGAACGGTTCGTGTTCGTCGATTTTACTAGATCGAATACAAGTTTTTGCCGAGACATATTTGTAACGACATGGAGGCTGTAGGTGGTGGAGATAAGACCCTAATTGTGGTGGTACCAACAGAAACTACCAAATGTGGACGGGCCTGAAGCTGCGTTGGGATACTTCGAGAGACGGGTTACAGAAGAGCTTCGACGGTGAGCAACGTGAGTAATGCAAGGCTGTATAACTAGACGTTCGATAACGTCCTCGATGGCGCTCGGAACTGAAACGACTATGGTAGGACTAGAGGCATTGACTGCAACTGATGGCTCTTATTACTCAAGGGTGCGACAGCAGTCTCCGCGGGCATTCGGGCATACGTGGAGAGGATGTTCGTCGCAAGGACAAAATGCACGAGAGATGGTAGCTCCTGGAAGGAAAACGGCTTAAACATCGTGGCATGAAGAATTTTTCTGTTTGTTAGATGTTATAAGTGCACAGGAAGCTTCACAGCTTCCCATCCCCAAGACCTCCCATAGAAATAAAACACTTAGTGCGTTTTGAGTTTGTAGGTAGACGTGGATGATGAGGTCCTCCCTTAAAGCAGTATACGGGGCTTCTTGTTGGTGCACTTTCTATACTATTCTATAGATCAGTAGCAACACCCACTGGCGAATCGGTCACGACATGATAGATATTTGTTTCCCTTCTTGTGATTTGCCGCAGGGCAAAATGCCAGTCCAGTGTGCGCGGCCGCAGCACAATATAATTGAGCCGCACGACGAAGAGGTGGATAATGCGAATGCTGGTGATCGGCTAGCTGGTAGGTTTGTTGGCCATGGCTAGGCTACGCCGACGAAAGGTCAGATGATTAAGTTGAATAGTTGGCGCGTTTCAGGTTAGAGTAAAATACGGCTGTAATAATGGTTGAGAATTTGGGACAGTATCGTTAGTTAACCAGTCTCGGTCAATAATACGAGCAATCAAAGAAAGGGCATGGATAGATTCAAACAAAAATCGTTGAGCAGAAAGACGAAAGAAAGACGCTATGATAGAATGGGTGTCGACGATGTATTATATACAGGGCGTACACCTGACATATACGAATATTGTCCACGAGCTATATGCGCCAGTTAAATGATAAGGAACAAAGAAGCCACGAGATGCCGGCGTGAGTAGAGATGTTAGTGGATGCTGTGCGTAAGTTTACAGGTGCCTTAACGTATTATAGCAATACGCTTTATTGAAGAATGCGACACGATCGCTGCGACAGGAACTCTTGTCCCAGCGATCGTGCCTTTTTCTTCACAACTGCTTCCTGGGATTCTTCTGTTCGCTTCTATTTCGCTTTATATTGTTGTAGGATAAATGAAGAAGGACATCAGCACCAGAATTAATGTCCATTGACGGATACTGTGATGAGAGATGAGTGAACTGAAAGTTTAGTAAAGTCCAGTGGGACAAAAATTCACGTCCGAACCAAGGAAGAAATAAGTCCAGCCGTGAAAATTCACTTGCGTCTGAGAATTTGTCGAAATTTTTATTCAAAATTCGAAGAAGGCGCTGAATTGCATAGCAAAAATACCCGTTATCCTCGAGATACAGTACATTAAAAACCATGTCTTGTTCGGAAATTTTGGATAGACGTGGAGACGACTGTGACAAAGGTAAAAGATCTGTACAGAATATTAGATCGATTATGTTCGATCCTCCAGTGAGAAAACGGCGACCTTATCCTACAAGCCGACATTTCGTCTCAATGCAGTTTTTTCAGGGTATGTAGGTCTTGCACCCTTGAAATCCCCATTTCTTACAAGGATGAGAAACACATCGAGAAACCGGAAAACGGATTTATCACACGTCTGCAGAAAAATTTTCGAAACTGGATAGATGAAGGAATAATTATAAGTTTTATGAACACTGACACTACCAAGTACATTTTACGGTTGTCAGTCGAAGGACAATTGCGCTATGGAAAAACTGGCACGATTTTGGCTTCAAAAGAGCC